TGTGGGGGAAGTTGGGAGTTTTTCAACAGACAGTTGGGGGTGAGGGGGCTAGGGGTGAGTTTTTCAACAGACAGTTGGTGGAGGGGGGGAGTTGGAAGTTTTTCAACAGTGTAGTGGTATATGTGTGTGAGGTAAGGGTGGGAAAGTAGGGCTGAAGGGAGCCTGTTTGTTGACAACTGTGGGAGCTCTGCGTCACAACAACGACAGCTCCTTTTGTCCGTTTACACCCAGTGCACACTGTCAGTCGAATTCTGTCGAATTGAGTCGAATTCCGTCGAATTGAGTCGGGATCAGCCACGTTTATCTTCATAGAGGGGTAAAAGCTACCCTCGTGGCACTGTTCAAGCGAATTCGATCGTGACCTTCATAAAAAAGAAAGAAAAAACAAACAAACAGGCGTGGTTATTTTTCAAGGTCGTGAGTCGAACGATCGGATGTATAGTATACAACCCATCACCAAGTCATATTTATTTGCTTTTGGGCGTGGAATGCTGCAATGGAGGCCTACATTGTAGATTTGGAGAGGCTGATACTGATAGATCAAGAAAGCTATTGGCATTTCCCACGTCTGTAGGATTCAAGAACCTCTCAACACAGCTACTGCGATATACGACAGTCGGTACTTGAAGCCGTTTATGGCAGGGAATGCCTGTGTTGGGAACGATAAACTTTGTGTTCAATAACAACACCGTGCACCTGTCAAAGTTTTCTGTTCTTGTCAAATTTGACACAAGTGAGGGGGTCGGTTTGTAGTGAGCACTGAAGCCGCCATTAATCGGCCCGACCTGACCCGCAGTGAGCACCTATGGTACATTTGTTAACTCATTATGTTTACATGTGGTAACCCCAATTTGTGTTTTAAAATTATTAATCCCTTGTGTTTCCATATGTTAACTTCTTGTGTTCCTGTTCGTTAACCCCTTGTTGTTTACATTTATTAACCCCTTATGTTTACCTGTGTTAACTTCTTGTGTTCCCATTTGTTAACCCCCCCCCCCCAAAGGGCAGTGTGTCTGACTGTAGTGTCTTTAGGCCGTTCCCAAAGGGGGGAACATTTCTCGTTCAAGCATAGTAGAATTGTAAATTGGCTGACTCATGTCACGCTCATAACTATGCCTGATCTACAACAGGGAACTGCTGCTTTTTCTTTCTTGATCCTTACTATTGTCATTTTCCTCTACTTCTTTTGTATGTTTGTCACTCTCTTGTGACCTGCTATTTCCGGGGTGCCTTGATAGTCGAAGCAGACCTTGTGCTGTTGAA